CTCTCTCTCTCACACACACACACACACACACACACACACACACACACACACACACAGATAGATGCACACACACGAGAAACAACGTTATACCAATTCAGAAGGGAATCACTTCAGGGTACTAATAGCACTCCATAATACTCTGAGCCAAGACAGGTTCCGAGTATCTAATAGGTAAGAAGGCCAAGTTGTCAGAAGAAAGCAGGCAGCCTACAACATGAGACAACCCGTCAGAAGAATGCGTGTCCAACTTGACACCTCCTCAGCTTACCTACCACAGTCCGCAGCTCATTGGCTCCATACCCTCTGCAGACAGAATACAGGCAGCATGCCACACACATCAGTGAGCTGATGATACAGCTAAGCAGAAATCACTGACTGTAGACCAGCACTCAGCATATACACAGCTGCGAGTGACAGCGAAAGAGATTGCCAACCCTGCTAAGACCAGATGCTCGCATTTGATTCACTTGACATTCTCCACATGTTTTTAGAGGTGCTCATGCATTCAGGGTTAGTGATGTGAGGCTCCTATTACCTCATCTCCCATCAGCAATGCCTGCCAAGCTCCCTACCCCCAGAGCAATTAACCAACAAACCAATCCACATCTGTGGACCCTATGCCACCAACCAATGGCAATGATAATGGTACATAACAGCGGTGATTCCCACGAGTATGGTCGTCGCTGATCACTCACCGAATGTGCGAAAAGAGAGCCAATCACCCACTAGTACATGGAAAGATTCACCGGCATAACTTCCGTGCATTTGGTGAGTAGATCGGCTAGGCCCTATGACTTCATCAACCAGGCCGATGCAATTTGAACCAGATCCCACAAGTGTGGCGTCCACACACAGACCTGATCACAAAAGGAGCTTTGACAATTTGACACCAAAATGGCCAAGGGACCATTCCAAGAATACCAGGGTAACATGCCATGAAAGATGTCTTGGTGCAAAAAGTCTAAAGCACTGCCACCTGGAAAATATAACCAGTAGGCCCAGTCTCGGGTTCACGCCCGGCACGTTACATGACTATCCGATGTGCCTGCCTGTCCGGTTCACGCTCAACTGCACTATGACTTCTCTTGCCTAGCAGGCTGAACAGTCTGCCATTCACTGAGATTCGAAATACTTCAGAACATGACACCTGACGAACTCTTCCGCACTTGCCATTCTGAGAATTGATAGTCTTTCACTCAGTTGTTCCTAGAACTTCACAAAAATCTCTTGATTGAAAAATCTCTTGATTGTTGCTTTCAGCTTCCCATGCAACCCTTGTAAACACCGGTTCACGACTCAGGCACAACAGATGAGCAGCAGGCAAATAGGGGGGGGGGGGGGAAGGAGACCAATCTCTAGTTTGTCAAAGGCATATTGATTTGGGAAGATCAAATGTACCACTTTGAGAGTGTATAGGAAACATCACAAGGCATTCCCCGGAGGAGAGGCCAAGCTGGATTCCACAAGACGCAAGCTAGAGAAAGATGACCCCACATTTGAACCATGACGGTCCCAACCAAGGGAGCGCCTCAACGTCATAAGTAGTTGAGAATGTCAATCGGAGAAAACACTCACATAGTCTCATTGTTGCGGATAATCTTGATCGCGACAATCTGTACATCTCCTATCCTTGCCCTCAAATCACGCGCTCTGACGACCGTGGAAAACACACCTCGACCATGAGAAGCCAAGGTCTCATACCGATTGTCCAGTACCTCTCCAACTCGGAATCCTACGATCGACAACACATGCCCACCAAGAGAGCAGACCACAGCACAACTTCCAAAGTCAATTGAAAACCAATAGCCTCAGCCAGCAAGCCAGCCGCGAGCAATTTCCCCAACCACGTGGAAAGAACCCAATGTATCTTCACATTTCTCTCCACCACCAGGATATATCTTGACGTCTCAACAAGAACCCAAGCTGTCTTCGCGAGAAAGAAAGAAAGAGAGGCTAGCTCAGTTGTTACACCCACAAACTGTTGAAAGACAGACCCAAGTTTGAATCCGCATGCAATCAGCTGAACAGAAAAAAAGTGGAAAAAGAAGAAAGTGCGAGAAGCACATAACAGAAGACTTGAAAGAAAAACACATTTACACGTAGTATAACTTCCCAAGCCATGAGAAATGTCGAACTCTCCTCAGTGGGTGGACATTGCCACTCCTCCCTTCACTCTTATTGCCCCTTACATAATATAGCCACAATTCCACGTCAACCGCCTCATTATAACTAGTCTAGAAATTTGACTCACAATGATGCAAAGCACGGAACCCATCCCAGGTTCCTGCAGATACCCTTAAACCACCAGTATGATTCCCAGCCATTTTAAGAGAACGCAGCCGTGCACATGCCGCATCTGCCGGGATGTACCGGTCTGCTATATCGCAAAAAAATACTTACCAGGCAAATCGCGTCGCATGCACGGCCCATTTTGCCTGGATGCATTTTTTGCCTGGCGACGAGCCAGCACATCCCGCCAAACACGGCACGTGCACGGCCGCATTCTCGTGAAATGGCTGGGAATCGTACTGGTAGTTTAACATCGCTCCAGCTTTGTTCTGCGCTGCACAAATACAACAGGTATGTGGGCTGATAGAGACGTCGACACACACGTCAGCCAGAATGTACGGGACCTATCTTTCACATAATAACCCTGATGGGATGACATGCACATGCAATTAGGGGGATATCTGATAGCGCAATGTGTGCAGCGTTGAGAAGCATAATCACGCAAAGTTGCAAACACATAGTCAACACATAGTCAACACATAGTCAACACATAGTCAACACATAGTCAACACATAGTCAACACGAGTCAGAAGCGAGCAACATTCGATAGGAAGCATAATCAACAAATAGTCCACACGAGTCAGAATCGAGCAACATTCGATAGGAAGCATAATCAACAAAGTTGCAAAGTTGCGAACACATAGTCCACACAAGTCAGAAGAGAGCAACAGTCAATAGGAAGCATAATCACGCAAAGTTGCATACGCATAGTCCACAAAAGTCGGAAGCGAGCAACATCCGATAGGGTTCTGCAAGCTATAAGACATACGATAGTATCCTTCCGCGTCGTCCCAGTTGTCCGTTAGCCCACTAGCCTCCGCAACCAAGCCATCAACCATGTCCTGCCATGGCAAGCAAACAACAAATAAAAGAAGAGTTAGAACGACGAGAACTGGCCAAAACAGTTCGCACTCAGGCATTCGGGGAGAGACAAGATGGCCAAACATTTCAGCTCAGGAAACATGTCAGTTCAGGACTGAAGTCGAGTCCAAAAGATCTGATGTCCCTGGACCTACAAAAGAGATGAAACATCCCTCTGCCTAGTCTTGTGCTGCTAGCAGTCGCTCTGATAATGGGAACAGCCATACAATTTATAATTCGTTAAGGTTAGATTGGATGCAGCCCAGCCAACTGGAAAGCTGACGAGCGGTAAAAAGGCATTCTGGTACAGATGATACAGTGCCCAGCTGCACGCTATGAAAAAAAAAACATCACGATCCTCACAAGCACACGTTTAAAGCAGGACACCCTGCAAGTCTTTGCAACCAGGTCACCAGATATTGGCCCTTGAGGAATCAATAAAGGGCCCCAGTTGTACAAGAAGGTGATAGAATTATAATTAACCTTGCAATACTGAACATAACCCGATTGGAATCATTTGCACATTTGTGTACTGAGCCATACCAGTGAAAGATTGCTGAAGTTAGATTATCTCACACGAGCTTACCTTAGGTCAGGCCTCAGCATAGGCCATACAAACTCTTTTTGAAAGTTGTGCCTGACATCGGGGCCTGTTCATTAACATTAGTCAAGCTTAATAACTGTAACAACAGCTCCAATAAGACTACCATCTTCGCCCGATTAGAACATGCCCGGTAATAATGACAGTATCCGGACTGGAATTTGCACCAAATTCGGCTATAATGACCAGGCGCTCGATTTCAGTGAAGGCGGTACGGCCCAGTGCGCATAATCTAACTCAACGTAGGAAGATGCCAACACAGAACCCAGGCCCGACGTGAGCAAAATTTGGTCAAAACTTGGTCGCTCTTTCCATCTCAGAACCGAAGGGTATCGGTGTGCACCATCCCCCTGGACTTCTCTTGCTATCTCAGAAAACAACTTGCAAAATGCAGTAAGTAGGAAAAACTCCCAAGGGTATCGGTGTGTTCATAAGAATCTCAAGGGCGTTGCCAATCACAGAATAATAAAAAAACAAGGAAAGACTGTAGTAACTAGACAAAAAAAAAAACAAAGAAAAAAAATGTGCACTGAACCCTTCTCTCCCTCCAACCAACCAGCATAAGGCACAACCAGAAGAAACCGGAACCTACCAGCCTCCGGAAACCTGTTGGAGACTCCCCAAAAATGTCATCTGCAAACATGTCAATTTTTGCAGCCTGCAAAAGAAAGTCAGAATTAATACTACGTCAGAAACACACAGTGGATTCATTCTTATCACAAGGGTGTGTTTAGAACATAGCTGTCTTTTCAAAGAGGGGAGGGGGGGGGGGGGGGGGGGGATGGAGTGGGGGACTGCAAAAACAAAGAACATGGGTGTCCCTACTACGGCTGAGACGTGTCTGCACCATGTGTGGTGCTAGACAGCCACTGCAGCCACCAAATATAAGCCCGATCCACCGAAATCATGGCCAGAAATATCTGAAATAATGAATAAAACCAAAGATGGTTGCATCTATTTGCAGTAGAACGCACAAAATTGAGGAAGTACCTAGCGCATCAGACTGACAAACAAGTGTGAGTTCTCACGCTTTTATGGCTGCACGTAGGCAGCGCCCATTCGTTCGCCCACTTACCAACATTCCAGCCTGACCCATATTCAAGCACCCTGAACAACCTCACAACACCATCGCTCCAGAAACAGGTACAGCCTGTGGGAATCCTTTCTTTTCTTTTTTTTTACATTACCGGATTCTAAATTAAGCGCGATTCCTACTGTCCTTTTTTTTTTTTTTGGACCAATTCTCAATTTATGTGTGTCATCCTTGCTCAGCCCAAGGTCAGGATTCCCACAGGCTGTCACACAGACTGTGCTTTGGGACAGCCACAGGCAGTCCCAAACGGATCCTGCTCTTTGGCTGTTTACCCTGGCCCTTCCACAGCAATGAGATTGGAAGACGTAAGCACATTGCAGAAAGAGATACAACCATGCATTGCCAAGTACTGACCTTCAACTTTTGACCCCTGCGCTTCACTGACGACCGTTGACGGATATGTGCTTCCACTGCTGGGTCGGTCCGGGTAACACTAGGCTGAGTGGCTTGTTTTGACTCGTCAACTGCATTAGCTTTCTCCACTGTTGGCTGACTTGGTCTTTTAGGCTCTGCGCGAGGCATTTCAAACGACACAGTTCACCAAGTAAGACACAAAAACAGTCTCCATCCCCAAAAGTGGAAGTAAACGCCAAGCATTGCACAGGTGCCAGCGTCAACCAAACCTGATGAAATACAGACCCAAGTTCGAATCAGAGCAAGCACCAATTCAGTATGCACTTGCTGAGCCACCAGTACCCTTCCAGGCTGGCTGGTTCCCAGGAGGCTCCGCACAAGAAAACCGTGAACGACCGAGTCAAACATCTGACACCATTTTCCTTCAAACATATTTTGGACTTTGCCTCCAGGTAACATGGGACTGTGTGCCAACGGGCCTAGCTCAGTTGGTACACCCATGAACTGTTGAAATACAGATCCGAGTTCGAATCTCAATGAACTAGATCAGTGAAAATTACCTCTTCAAAAAAAAAAAAAAAAAGGAAACCATGGGTATGTGTGCATCGTCCACGTTGGCGTGAATGGTACACACACGTAACTTACAGGGCAACATGAAAACAAATACTGACCATAATCATATGAACACAATAAAGGGTTAGCTGTTGCCCCCCTCAGGAAAACGGGGAAAAAACAAAAAAAGTATGGCGGACAGGTGCTTTCAGCCTTAGACCAACCAGTTCGTTGTTATCCTCAATTAATCTTGAGCATGCCGTAAAGCCTGTACAATGTTCCTAGGCTCTATTCAACAGAGCAAACCATTTATCCAGCATCAAGGGAAGTCGCTCCTCTGCCCAAAGTATTATTTGCTTTATTAGACATCCAAAGATTCTCATTTGAACCGCCAGTTCAACCGAAGCGGAGTACTGCTCTTACTGGTTTACACAGCAAGAGCATTTCGGTTCGGGCCTGGGCCGGTAGCAAAAGTGGCAGGCCACTTTGAAAAGGCGCAGTGGCAGGCTCACGACCCTCGGCAGGCAACTTCGTCGACTTAGGCTCGTGTGAACTGGTGGTTTAATTTCAGCTGCAAGAACTGCCACAATGTGGCAAGAGTCAGTAACAAGCGACATGGCACTGCGCAGACAGCATCCAGCTTTTCACCTGCAGGGAACCAGTCCTGGTAGGCCTGTTTGAGAGATGAACACTCCTCTTTCCGGAGAGCATCTGCAGCCGTCTATCACACTGATAGTAACCCCCAGATTAAACCCGGCGGATGTTCCAATGATGCATTGGAACTGGGAAAATATAAAAATTTGCACAAACATTGGCACAACGAAAGAGTTCACACTAGCTGGCGAACCCATGGTATTGTCCAATGCAGTTCTAGAACGCCCCAGCGCCCCCAGCGCCTTGAAACAAAAATGGGAAATTGCCTCTACACCCTGTTTAAAGACAGGAATTGTGTGTATACCCAGTCCCAGTACCCATCTTACATGCATACCCAGGACTGCTGTGTGGAACCCTGCTAATTGCAGTTATACCAGGTAATGGCCCGGCTCCACACATGACTGAGCTGCCAAATGTGACTCCACCCCGCAGCCTTCACCACACCTCTGTTGCCATGACCATCATGCGACTCCGACCCAAAACCCTGCTGCCACGCCATCCTGTGAAGGTGAGGTCGACTCCTCCTCCTCCTCCTCCTCCTCCTCCTCCTCCTCCTCCTCCTCCTCTTCTTCTTCTTCTTCTTCTTCTTCTTCTTCTCTTCTTCTGGTTTCCCCCTCGACCTGCCTGCGCCCATACCGACCGACTCCAGACCAGATTAAAAAACAAGTTGACGCGCACACACACGAGAGAGAGAGAGACGGATCGTGGGAGACAGGTCGCTCATTGGATGCCCTTCAAACTCCACCCACACAGATCCAGACCTCAATCCAGCCACCCACTTGCCCATCGCCAGACTTCCATCCATCAACCCACCAATCTATCCATCCATCCATTGAACCACGCCTCCATTCATCCATCCACCATTCTATCCCCAGCCCCTACATACCCATCCAGCTATCCAACCGCCACCCACCCATCCATCCATCTCGGCCCCTACACCCCCTCCCTCCGGCCCCCTGCTGAACACCAAAAGAGAGAGAGACCAGATTTGAGCTCCTCTATATGAGCACTGAAAACCCCCACCGCCAAAAGAAAAAGTAGACATGCCCAGACTTTTTGGCACGTCCAGGTACCCCGGAACGCCTCCTCCCTTCTCTGGCAAGAGTCGAGCCTCTTGGGATAAGGTAAGGTATTGTTTTATATATGTTATGAACATCCTCATGTTGAGAGGACTCTATTGTTATGGTCCGAGAGGTAGAGTCAAAGATTTTCCTGGTGTAGAATACCATTGTATTCGAGGACTGAAAGACTTACAAGTAATTCTTAAAACGAAAATATGATACCCAAAAAAAACATGCTCCCCACCTGCTGATTAACCTACAGTTTAAGCTCTTCAGATAAGCATTGAGACACCAACCTTTTGATTGACAGCATCTGCTCTAGATCCTGCTGTTATGATAAGAACAAAATCATCAGCATATCGTACATAGAAGAGTCTTTTGAAACCCAGACCCATTGGGTCTGATGAAGTCTTCCATGGGGTTCACCGGTTGCCAGTTTCCTAGAGCACCAAAAAAGAGGGAAAATTTGCTGCAAACTCCTGTGACGGAGGCATTTCTGCCAATGAAAACATGGCGTGACACCCGTCTGGGTGCGGCAATACTCCTAGCAACACATAATTTTATGCAAGGAACCAGAACAAGAGCAATAACCCACCTGTTTTTTTAAGGGACTAGACCCTAACATTATCACAAGTGGTTAACAGGGACCCCACCTTTCCAGCCCCATGTTAGCCCCCCCAGCACTGAAAATTTAGGGCTCTGTTAGCCGCTTCTCAACATTATTGAATCCATCGCGATTTGAAATCATGACCCGTCTATTAACAGTTACATGTCTGTCCCATTCAGACAAGGAAGACATAAAACCCACCTTCCTGAGTTGCTGCTGCAGCTGCATCCTGTGCAGATGGCATCTTGTCAGCAGGAGCTTCCTGCTGTTGCTGATCTGCTGCTTGCCGCATAACCTGCTCTTGCTGTTGTTGTCCTTGCTGCTCTTGCTGCTGTATTTGCTGTTCTTTCTGTTCCTGCTGTTTTTGCTGTTCTGTCTGTTCGTGCTGTTCATGCTGTTCTTTAGGCTGCTGTTGTTGTTGCTGATCTTGCTCCTGCTGCTGCTTGTACTTGTCTAAGATAGCTTGCCGCCGTTTCCTCCGTTCCTCTTTTATTTTCTCGACATCTTCCTCTTCTTCCAGCTGCATCGCCACCCGCTCTACATACTCTGCTTGATTCTCCTCCTCATCCTCCCTGCAACAGAAGGTCGGTCCACACCAACATATACGAATGCCAAGCCCAAAATGAGAAATGCCATAGAATTAAAACAAGGAAACAAAGCAGGAACTCAATTTGTCTCATGAAGACAGGGCCTTCCCTCCCGTCCTCCGTTAACAATGCTCCTTGGGAAACCATGGTCACCACTCCTCCATTGTAACACCCCTTTGCGAACTAAGCCAGCTCGGTTAGCTTAACACATTCCTGCAGCTGTCACTCGATAATATGTGACCACAAGCAGATGCAAAGGCACCCAGCAAAACTAATCTCGACGATTTGACCCAGGCTTGGTACGAGTTGGAACTATGGCTGCTGGTAACTCCGAGCCTGCCTCACAGTCAATAATTCAGCAGGCATTCATCCGGACATAGAGACCGTGAAAGGCCTGAATTATCAGTTAAGGAGACGGCTGTAGACCAGGAGACCAAGCGCCTAAAGGACAAAGGAGAGGTTCAAAATCAAGTCGTCCTGCCGCAATGGATTCAGAGAAAGAAGAAAAGATTGCTTCTGATGGTGCTATTCTACACCACCCCAGAGTTCACAGCAAGAACCATGACTGAGCCAGACAGCTCCATTGGACTTTCGCCGACTCATCAGAAGGTTGAACCACGACAGTCGGCACAGGATACATTAACTGATAGATAAGTGGTATCAAGGACTCACCGTGTCGCTCAGTGATGCCCCTGAAAAAAGTGGTAGACCTTACTCACACCAACCCTGCAACACAAGCCTGTGTGCATGTGTGTGTGCACGTTTATGTGTGTGTGCATGTGTGCATGCACTTGTCTGCACTGGGAGGGGAAGGTGGGAGTGGGAGGCAAGTGATTTGCACAGGATGGATGACATTCATGTGCACAACATAACTAAGCTCACGCACTCTTTGAGGCAAGGGCCCCTAAAATTCCAGTCAGCACGAGTGATTCAAACGCCATGATGTCAAAAGGTCTGTTACCACAAAGGCGCAGTCAGGTTCTTAGGTCAGGAGCTACGGTTGAGTTGTACCCAGTCGGCTCTGGTCCGTCCCGCTCTTAAAACCCCTCACCTTGAAGCAAGATTAACAATTAGTGGCTTCCCATAGTGGTGGAGATCAAAACCGTCTGTCATCATCGTGTGCAAAGACCTCTGCTTCCTGACCACCAACACGGGGTACTCCACCTCCTTCCTAACTCACCCCTGAAGCCCATACAACGCTTCTGACGTTTCAAATATAGTAGCTAAAGTTCAATCCAGAAGAAGGCCGCATTTTGCAAACACAAATAGGCCTGACCCTAACTCCCATGCAATGCCAGAAGCACTACTGCCAAGACCACCCTCTTTGTAGCTTCCCACGTACAGCCTAACTACCATGGAATACCCAAAGCACCACTGCCAAGACCACCCTCAGTGCAAGATTTTTGACCCCACCCACAAACACCCCATGGTACCCGGCAACAACTCGGCTGCAGTGGAATCCACCTGTAACACCAGAAGCTCCATCACTCCTGCCCATGTGCTGCCAAACGCCAGTCCTACAGTAAGCACTCTATCAACCTCCTCAAGAAGATTTCATCATGACGTAAAGAAATGGGATTCCCGCGTGGGAAAATAGGGAAAACTGGCAGTTTTCCCAAACTCCTGAATCTTCGGAGGTCGGGTCCGACGACGACTACCTTTGATAAATCCGATCGGCGCCAGTCATGTCGTTTTGGCCTCTGGAAAGGTCGGACGCCTACCCAAGGCCCGCTATTTTCCCAGGAGGGAAAGGTACTGGTGGTTTAAGACCTTCAAACAACGACTACAAGGACCCTGCCTCAATTCCACCTCACAAAAACCGTGCCCATAGACTTATCTGCTGCGCATGCGAGTGTGTTGTGAACTTTCACCACAACAACCCCTTTCCTACCCAGATGAGCAGATCTAAAATTGAAACAGATGTACCTCTATAGCAAACACTTTATGGCAAGCCTATATAGGCTTGCCATATAAAAAAAAAAACTTAATAAAAAAATTCCTCGTTGCGAATCTCCGGCCAAGCTATGAACAGATGCAAGTAATCCCAAACGAACAAAAAACGTACCTAAAAGACTGAATAGAAAAGTACAAGAATTCAACCGGAGGTCCGGGGGTTCGTATAACAAAACAGCCATCAATGTTTGATAATTAACTTCTAAATGAGATGGTTTGTTTTTTTTAATTCGGTTATATCTTATATTTTGTTTGATGGTTGACTTGCAATAGGAATGATTTTGTATACCATGTTTGTATGGTGGCGTGATGTAATACGTGAATCCACCTACAAAGGATATCATACACATGAAGATGAGCCGACCAAAAATTGAAACAGCTTTACCTCTATGGCAAACAAGATCAAGCACATTAGAACCGTTATACTGCCTGTTCCTTATACAGTCCTTTCTTCACTTTCCCCAATTTGGCCTTCTTTGGGATACCCCTTGTATTTATTCTTGTAGCTCCCGTTTGACTGTGCCTCACGTACAAGGCTTGCCACATTGATTGTGGTTGAGCGCAAGCCGCCCACATTGATGTGTGCCATGACGGCCCACTTGCACGCTCTGAAAGGAGGCACAGTAAAGAGAGAGGTATA